GAAACGAAGAATTTAAACAGCCAATATTTTTTAAACACAAACGTTTTGCACACATCTCCGATTAAAATCTCGCCTAGCTAACCTCCAATTCCATTTGTCACCAATTTGTCCCAAATCGATTTTTCCCACCTTTCCTCCACGATTCTTCCAATCCTTCCAAAAAGGAAAATAATACAAAATCGCGGTGGCCCAAACAACACGAAGTTATACAAAACGCGGCGCGCTGACTCGAGCGTTTACTCGCCGCCGGTGTGCGTCTCCACCCACTTTATCCCTGCTTACAGCTGCGGACCGGACTCTGGTTTTCCACAGCAACCCCCCGCACGCTTCCTTTCCTTCCCCTCCTTTCCGGGTTCCGCGTGTCCCCGAGGAGGAGAGAATCGTTCTGCGGCCTGGGTCGATCTTTCGGGCGCGGTGGCAATAAAAAACAGTCCAGTCAGCGGGGCGTGGATCGCCGATGGCACCACCACCACCACCACCATCCCTGCACGGATGGTTCGTTCGTTGCCTGGCTCGCGGGCAATCGGCTTGACCCCCGCGAAAGGGGGCAGGCGAGGGTGCAATCCGGGACGCTGTTGCGTTTCCTCTTCGAGAAATGCGAAGGAAGGGAACGAACGAATTTGCTATTTTGTGTGAGAAATGGAAAAGGCGGGTATTTATTATTATGTAGCAGAGAAATGATATTTATTCTGTTCCAGTCTCTGTTAATTGTTCGTTGCTTGTATCGAGGAGATTCTGAAAATTTGTGAATTTATTTTGATGGATGAAACCTTGTTTGATATCGTTTAAGAAGAATAAGTGATGATATTGGTTAAAATTTTATAATTGAAAAAAAATTTACAATTTTTTGACAAACTTTTCACTAAATAATTTTAAAAACTTATATAATAAATCATTATTAAAATTGTTTTTAATTATTTTATTCGATCCTAAGTTTAATTATTTAATCATAAATCGAGATTTAGAAGTTCGGAGGTTCGTTGTGAGATAATAGTTAAGTTTTCTGATGATGTGATTAATTGCAATTCTTGTGAATCACGTTACTGTTCACTCACATTATGGGGTGATTATAATTCTGAAAATAATTCGAGATCAATTAGGAAAAACGAATTTTTTAAATTATTAAATTTATACAAAATGTTCACGAAATAATATGTATATATATATATATATATTATTTTTTTTAATAAGAATGCATTGAGGAAGGAACAAAGACAATGAATTTTAAATTCTGCACTCCTGGCAATTGTCCACGATATCAGAAAGAGGAGGTTCCCTTGCGAGCTTTGATTCGACTCTTCGACTTTCTCGATATCGTAAATTCGTATCGAAAGCTGGAAGAAGCAACTCAGGGGCTATATATGGTTAAAAGTTCGAGGAAAATATTGAAAATTGTGCGAGAAAGGAGAGTTAGACTCGATTTAAAAGCGGAAATGCTTAAAATAATTAAAATGTCACTTAATAAAATAAAATGTCCCATTTAATCAATTAAACTATTCGTGAAAAATTAATTTGATCTTATTCATCAATGAAATTGAAAAATCAAACTCTGTTTCGATTATGATACGCCGTTTTAGTTTAGCCAACGACATTAATTAATTAACGCTTCCATTAACAATTTGAATACTTCCATTCAAACTTCTTCTTCTTCTAATAATAAACCAATCCTCTTCTATTGATAATTCAAAATAACACACCTATTTCCAAATATATCCTATTTCTATCCAATCTCGGTCCTCTTCTTCCTCGCACACTTTCAATAATTTTCAATGAAACTACCCCCAACTAACTAAACTTTTACAAATCTTCAACAAACAATTTTCTTTTTTTTTTTTTTACTTTAAGAAACCATGCATTTTTTCCACTTGCCAAAATAATTCCCCCTCAACCTAACCCCAAAATTCTCCAATCACCTTCGAAACCAACTTCCTTCCACCCGAACCTCTCCACCGAGTTAATCAACCCCGTCAAACTCGATCGGGGCTCGCAGCGGTCCGAAAATAAGCGGCAACTTCCGGCTCCGCTTCGTAAGGGCGAGAGAATTACCCCTAATCGGGTGGAAGATAGAGAGCCAACCGATCCAATCGAGAACACAGCCACCGACGATCGAATCGGGCGAGATCCCGTGTCGATGGATGCCCAGTTTTCGCGGCACGAGGGGGGTCGGATATCGGCGTGGATCGGGGGTCGTGGAGGGGTGCGGCCTCGTCGCCGGTAGCCGAGATATCGGTATCAACGCGGTGTAATCAGCGAACCACGCCCATCAGCCGCTATACCCGCTCCGTTCCGCCCACTACGGCAATTACACCCTCGAGTCACCCACTGGAGGGGAACATTAAACTCCGTTTCCATGCCCCGGCCCTCCCTCGCCCAGCTCCTCGCCTCTTCGGGTCTCATTCGCTCGCTCCACGGCCACCGTACTCCTCCTCTCGCCCCCTGGAGGCAGACAGGCTGCACGAGCGGCGTGCACAACCGATGCTCGCCTTTTTCACCCTCTTTTTCTTTCCTTTCTTTTTTTCTTTTCTCGAACTCGGCGACCAAGGTGGCTTGCACGGTTTACGAGTAGGCGCGGTAATGAGACCGATTAACGGGAAAGGAACGTCCTCTCTCGCGTGATTTCACGTTCGTTGTTTGTTGCGTGCGCGGACGTGACTTGATTGCCGCGGTTTTCGAAGCGGAGGAACGACGGGCGGGATGATCGGTCGAGCGGTTAAGGGTTGGTCGCGGATCTAACGAGACTGAGAGATCTTTATCGAGAAATTTTTCTATGGTGCATGAATTTTGGTTTCTCAGCTTTTGTGTATATTTGTAAGAGAAAAGAAATAATTTAGTAGAAAATGCTTCTGTAATTAGGATTTGAAAGGGGGATGCTTCTATCGGGTTTAATGAAAAATTATGTAGAATCGAGAGATTGGAAGTTTCATCGATATCGGGTGATTATTAAAATAGGGCAAAATTTTTCTCTCCTAGTTCCATCGAGAAGATTGAAAATAGAGATTGAAAATTTAAGGAAAAGTGAATCAAATTTAGGATTATTGAGCGGGAAGGTTGGAATTTTAAATAACACGCTGGTAATTGAGAATAAATTGCTCTATCCGGTGTCAATAATATCGATGTGATAAATTTAACTTTTTTAATCGAGTTCGCGAAAAGAAGAATTGAATTTTTAAACAATTTGTTTCACAGATTTAAAAGATTAATTCAAAAGAATTGCGGGAATGAAACAAAACACACTGACACGAGATTAGATTTCTTGGCAAGATTAAGAGAAGTGTACGGGCGAAACTGAATTCTCACACCCGCACGGAACGAGAGTGGCAAATAACAAACGATGAAACTAACGCGGTCTATTTCCCACACTCGGCACTGCACTCGAGCGCCGGGAGATTTTCCCATTTTCCCCAATAGGGCCGTGAAATTGAGCAGACAAATCGCAGCTCGAGAGAGCGAGACGAATTTCACCGGTCTGTGCCCTCTGTATCCAACGTCTGTCACCTTCTATTTGCAGATCTCTTTCCCCCTTGTTTCCAACTGTTATTAGTGGAACAGATTAATTCATTCTAGCTGTCCACTCGTGAAAATGTTCATCCACTTTATATTGTTCAGAAAATATTAAAAAAAAAAATAAAACAAAACGATCCTCAAACATTTAACACTTTTCAATTCCATCCATTTATATATATATATGCAAAAATGTCACAATCTGTCTAGATATTCCAAGCGTCTCATCACGCTCTGTTATCTCCATTAAGATCCATTAAATTCGCTCGATAATCGATGCTCCATTCCACCGGATAGTCGAAAACATCCGCAATCGGGCTATCAATATATACGGTTCCGTGCCAGTGACTGTTCCAGAACGGATATCCGCGGCGAGGGATTATTAGTTTTCCGCTCTTGGAAGCGGTGTTTTCATCGAGCGGACATATAACGCAGGAAAAGAGAGAGAGAGAGAAGGAGAGGGAAAGAGAGAGGATAGTATAGAGAACGTCTAGGCCGTACGTTACGGTCTGGGGGAGCCGCTTCTCTGTCCTACGGTAGGCGTGGTTGAAATCACGAGATGATTTATCCTTTGCGAAGCGGTAACTGCCGAGATCCTCGGCTAAACGACCACGGTCCTTCGTGTATTAACCGTAATGCACTCTGCCGTTGCCATTGTGCGCACTGTATATAACTATACCTACCCTTGGCCAGGATCTTGCACAACCCCTCGTCCAAGGCTCTTTCTCATTTAGCCGCGTGGATCATTCTCCTTTACCTTCTGGACCACGTTACTCGTCCGTTTAAAGTGGTTGTCACGAATATCTAGTATTGTAAGAGATTTTTTTTCTTGAGGAAGAAAACTGAATTTATTTAAAATTTCTTGTTATTATTAATTTTGTTCCCAAATGATGTGAGATGCTAATCGATTTTTATAATATCATTCGATTCTAACGGCGCAATGCCCGGTTTTGCTGCACAAATATCGAATTAGGATTGTCAGAACAGTGCAAATAATAATATACGGGAAGAAAATTACAACCATGATACCTTCCGTACATTAAACCGATACTCCACACACTTTGAACCCTACCCTATTGTGTCCCATAATTTCTTTCCCCCGACGTAACGCCCCAAGCTAAAGTCACTGCATGATTTTGCCCGATCCTTCCTACGTTAATGCGCGTGAGATGCATCGAACGTATTATTGATATTCGTGTAGTCGTAAATGTTGATCGATTAGGCGTCGCGCGAGCTACGTGTAATTTATATATTTCGACAAAAAGAGACATGTCAGAATTTTGACAAGAGAAAACTCGACAATACTGCTTGATAATCAACATATATAAAAATTGCTACGATAAAACGTCTCTTAATATTGTTAAATACTATCTACGATCAGAGATTAATCAAATTTCATTTGAAGTATATTTTTAATTCTAGAAACTACATCTTATCCCTTTACTTCTTTTACTTTCTTCATCTACAAATCAGCTTCCAGTGTCATCGTTTTTTTTTTCTTACCCCAATCGCTAACCGTAATCGATTTTCGAGTTGTTTTGACAATTACGTCGAGTCAGATTTCTCGAAGGGGTTCCCTTTTGTCGGCTCCCAAACGAGATCGGTGTCTCCCATGGGATCCACCTTGACGTGGAAAATTGCAGGCTGCACACCACAGGCGGGGTAGGTATTTTCGCAGACTACGGCGCGTGCTTCGTGGAGAGAGCATGGAAAAAATCTGGCCCCATGCACACCTCCCTTGAACGCCTCGTAGGCGTGACCCCATATGCCACTTTCAGCCGTGCAACCTAACCGCTCGTCGATATGCATTGGCGCATTGTGCCAGCTAATTTGCCCCAAGGTTGAAAAGAATTTCTTGAAGAATTTGGCAGATGTAGCTTCTTTCCTCGTCGATTCTTCGTTCACGAATAAAAGTGATTTTCTTTCTTCTTTCTTCTTGCAAGAAAGAAGATATTTATCAAACATGTCTGAGCAATATGTTGTGAACGAAGTTTTGTTTTCTATTGTATTAGAAAAATTGGATCGAGAAAGTTCTTGAGTTTTTCGTTGAATTTCAATTGAAATACAAGGTGTTATTTTATTAGCAGAACGAGTCGTTAATAATTTTTAAAGAATTTTAAGGAATTTATATATATAACTTTCGAAAAGTCATCATATTACAAGCGTCTTTGAAGATACTTATTATAATATCGTTGACGCCATAAAGCTGGGGATCAATGATATGGTATGCATTCACAGGAACACGATATTTCACATGATATTCGCACGTTTTTTATTGCCTTCTCGATATACACTTTCGCCGTTCTTCCGCTCCACGTGATACAGCTGCACGCTCGATCGATTCATCGTGCCACCACTAGTTTTGGAGCAAAAACTCGCTTAAACGTATAAGGAAATTATCTTACAAGTACAACCTACGACCCCTGTTCGGGAGAATATAGCGTCCAGATAGTACGTTGTGTGCGAAAGCTATTTACACAATCATTTTTCATCAAGGGTGGGTTACACTTATTTACAAATTGATCTCGATCGTGGTAGAAAATATTGGACGATTTTGGAATAATTTCGATGGATCACGAGGAGGTAGAAAGAATCGAACGATGGAAGAGATAATACCGTTGAAATCGAAGGCATCACAGATTCCCAAGAATTTCGTTATTCGAGTCAGCATAATAAATCACTTGCACGATTCTCTCTTTTTACTTTTCCATCGTTCAAAGATATTCTTCCTCGTGATTCATCCTCTCAGAGTAATATCCAGATCACTATACAACTGGTGATTCATCGACAATCTTCACTCATTCATTTCAAATCAACGTTCCTGTCAATCTTTCCGACATCCCTCCTCGTTAAATAACCAAAAAAAAAAATCTTACGCGATTCTCATCTCCAATTAATATCAACACAATTCACTTCTTAGCTTTCACTACCTGCCGGAAGAGCTAAGTCCACCGCGATGAGAGGGAACGGTGAAAGCTCTCAGTCCAACACCGACACCGATTCCAACTCCGCTGCTTAAAGGACTCTGGACCTGGCCACTCAGATTAATGGACGAATTGACCAATCCGAGAGCATCTCCTAGAACGGACGAGGATGCGCTGGAACTGGGATTCTCGGCGGTTGGCCTGACCCTCGGTGGCCTGGCACACTTCTCCAAGTGATGGTGGTGAGATCTGACCGCCAGTCTGCTAACGTGAACAGGAATCGGAACGACGATCCTGGTACCATTCCCAGAATGTTGGCCGGCAGCACCGTTATGCCTGTTCGAGGCACCAGGTGTCGCCAGGCTGTTCGCCCCGGATCCGACACCACCGCCGCTCAACCCTGCCTTCACTCTTTTCCACTTGGCTCTCCGATTTTGAAACCAGATTTTCACCTGGACCTCAGACAATTTCAACGCGTGGGCGATGTGAGATCTCTCGGTGAGGCTGAGGTATTTCTTCGCGTGGAATTCTCGTTCCAATTCCAATAATTGTTCAGAGGTGAAGGCTGTTCGCCTTCGCCTGGCCTTGTTGCTGCTGGATCCGCTTGTGGACGTGCCTTGCCCATTTTCCAGGGATCCACCGGGGCTCACGTTGCTCGACGCGTTGCTGGACATCGTGTCGGTCGCATCGTGGCCCTCCCCGGTCACGCTTAGTCCTCCACCTTCGTCCTCGCTGTCCGCTGAGGCGCGACCATTCTCTGAACCTGGAATCAAGGTGTGCACGATGAAGAAATTGTTTCTTAAATGCGAATTGAACGGAAGATTATCGACTGTCAGGAAGTTTTGAAAATTTCTCCTTTATTTTCTACCGATGGAAGTTTGAAAAAACGTATTTTCAATTGATTCGTGATTTGTCATTGAGCGGCCGAACAATTGCATCGGTATTCGATAGAATTAATTGGAATTAACAGCAATACAGTTTGAGAAGAAGAAAAAGATTTAATATGCGGGACATGCAACTGCCTCGACCATAAAGCGTATGTCTCTCGATCGAAGTTTCGCTTCCTGACTCTGTTATTTTCCACGTGTTCTATTCTCTTTTCCCTTGGTCTCTTACGAGCCAGCTGAACACCCCACTTATAGTAAACGGCGAGGAACAAAGTATTGTTTTATTATTTCACCGCGTTTTATACACTTTAGTTGATGTACAAATAAAATATTAATGAGCCTCGAATGAAAAAGTTTCCTTTCGTAATGGTAATGGTGAAGTGAGAAATTCTAGGAAGAAATGTGTTCAAGTCTTGATAAAACTTTTAATCGATGACTATAGGTTATTCGGAATCGTTATTTAGATATCAAAGCTCTTTATAAAAATTATTTATCATAGTGCCACAAAACGCGATCAATGCGCGAAACTTGAAAAATACGAGCAATATAAAACAGAAATAAAAAAAATACGAATATATATAAAGTTTTTTGTTTAAAGTTATTATGCTTATCAATTTTTCAAAGCTTACCATGGTTCCAAATTATTATTACTAAGAAACAATTTCTACAATCATAATTGTTTTGTACATTTATCAATTTCAATATAAAATTTTCAACGTGTATATAATTTATATAAATCTACGTTATTCCATTTTGAAAGATGACCGAATACTTTTTACCAAAAATTGTATATTATGAGCAATATCGAATCAAAGAGACCATGATCGTCATTATCGATCCAAAAATCTCCGATATCACGACCAGAAATGAATAACCATCGTGGAAAACTCGCTTCCTACAACAATCATTTACAAGTTGTCGAGATTATAGCTTCCGCCTTCTTTTATTCATTTTCGTTGTTTACGACCGTTCCGCGCGTATACACTCGATACAACGTGCAACATCGAGTTTCTGCGACGAAGTTACCTCGCCGGGGGTTTGATGCACCCGTACGTTTATTAATTCAAAGAGTTTCGATTGAATGGGCCATACGCTTCCGCGAACGAGAGAGACGGGACCGCGATGCACACCGTGGACAAACGTTCGGGCGTTGTCCCCTAGTGGTCTTTACATTTTATACGATACCGAAGACTGAAGACTGATCGATCGCTGAAACGATACTGTTACATCTCTATTCCGCGCTCTTTCCTCGCCATTAACTTTGTATAGAGCAATTGCTCGATTCCAGAAGACGTGTTCTATGTTTAGGAAATCGACATTTAACCTATCGGATCTGGCGCGTCAATTGACGCGGGATAGTGATATTTAAACGTTATTAAATTTAATCGTTCAAATTGTCGCAATAGTTAATATAACTCTTTTATAACTCTTTTTGAAGAAATTCAACGATAGATGTAAAGATCGTGTAGAAGATGTAAACGAAGCTTGGAAATTTTTATTTTTGGATGATATTGTGAATGAATGTATTGTTTTTTCAAAGTGAATTGAAGTTGAGGTAGTTATATTTAAGGTAGCAACAATTGTAAATGTTAAAATTAACAATTATATTCTAATTCGATTTAAAAATTATATAAAAAAATTCATTGCTTGCGATTATCACTATGATATGCAGTGAAACATGCAGTAAGTACAGTTGTCTATACTAGCTGTGAGTGCACCAAGATATTGGCGATTCGCCAATTCGAGGTTCGATCCGGTTCCTGCACCCGTCGGAATGGCGCTGTACTCGCGGAACTATACATCTTTATGATATATTCTCGTCGAGTGAAAATGGAAACAGATATATCTCCTCTAAATTTTTTTTTTTTTACTTATCATCACATAAAAATTGTCACATTTTGTCCATAATAGATAAAAAATCATTGTTCTTCTTCTTCTTTTTTTTTTTTTTTCCTTAAAGGCGAGTGAAACTCGTGCATGAATTTCACTGGCAACAATTGCTATAACGTAGTTCGATAAACTGTAATATCCCTTCTGCGATTGTAAAGTAATCATTTCGAGAGTTTTATAACAGAGAAGACATCGAGCTATTATCTTATGCTACGTTCACGGTATTTACGGTTTGAAATAGAATTAGTTATGTAATAAGATGCCTTTTTATTCAGTTCCACCGATTGCTTTATCGCTCTGAAACTTGGAAATTTCCCTTTAACTCATTATCCTATTTTTTCTATTTTACTGTTCTTCTTTTTTTTTTTCTTTTAATCATTGAATTTCTGAAATGTATTGGATGTTCATTATATATTTTTTCTTGTTTATATACGTAAAGTATATATTTCTATCATTTCCAGAAGTAAATAAATTGCATCGATGATCGTCAGATTTGGAAACAATATCATTTAATCGATATCACGAAAAGAATTTCATACTGTCGATATTACGATATCATCGAGCTTTAAATATTCACACACACACACACACACACACACACACACACACACACACAAGGACATATCTAGGTTATATCCATGCATTTGATATAGATTATTCATTGAACTTGCTATTAACAAGATAATTTTACTGTGAATTGATTCTCGACATAAATATTAAACCGACAAAACGGAACAGAAACTACATGCATTTTTTAATATTTCGTAAAAATTCTTAGACAATTGGATTTTAATTTAATCAAAAGTAATTATCGATAAATCGATATGGACGATCTGTATTTAGTCAATTCTTTATTTTGCGAGACCATTAACTGGTTCGACTAATCGAAGGGTCCAATTCAGATCGTGCTGCTCCCCTTGGACAAGTTTTTTTTCGTCAGAATTCGGTTTCTTCTTGGGAATGAAGCATTGCAAAACGACCCCTCCTTTGCCGTGTTGCTCGCCATAGGGATCACGATGGGTAATGAATAAGAAAAAAATCGAGATTCTGCTGGAAAAGCAGAAAAAAAAATCTGTTCTCGCTTTGCTTTGATAATAAAAGAAATATCGATCAGGAAAAGTTTGCGAATAATTTTCTTTATAATTAATATCTAAATATAATTTAACAAATTAATGATCATTATGTATTTCTTTGTGTTATATTAAATTTCAGTCCTTATAGATATAATTCTTGCTTCCTAATCGATATCTCGACAAATTTCAGTTAAACTTGCGATCGATGCGACTAAATGTTATTTGGCACAGCTATTGAATAAATCATACTGTTTAACGAGCAGACGAAATCGTTTAGTGAAGTCGTGAAGTTGATTGCTCAGATTCAATGAAGTTAATGTAAGAAATTCTTAATGAGAACGAAAAGTCACTGAAGTGGCACAGAAATCGCGTTTACTTTTGTTTTAATCTTTAATCTGAAAAGAAACCTTCTCCAATAAGATAAAAAATGAAAACTTCTTTCAATTAAGAAATTTAGATATAATACAAATAAATTTTAGAAATTGTAGGTAGATTTTAGAAATTTAAATTGTTCTTTATAAAAAGGGAAAAAAGGATTTTCTCTTAATATTTTAAAAAGAAGAATAAATTTCAGAATTTTTCGATTCTTGTCAAATAAATAAGTGCACAATATAAAATAAGTGCACGTTATCTCTCGAGAGCAAAATAAATATTTAAAGATAAATGCAAATAAAAACTCGAAAATATTGAGGAAAAGCATTCATCAAGTGTGAACCAGATTAGAAAATAAATCTGTCAAATCTCTGCTCGACTTTTCCATTTAATAGAACGAGAATTAATACATATATCAATCTTTGAAAAATCTTTATGCACGTCGTTTCAATTCATTTCGAACATTTATCAGATGAAACGAATTTTTTAAGATTCTATAAATTGTCTAAAATTCAAAAGATCTCATTCATACTACTATCAAATAATTATTCATTGGATAATTTCATTTAATTCACGATCGATATATTTTATTTATATTCATAACTTTATTCATCCGTAACGTTTCTTTAATACAATTAATTTTCTGCATCACTTTTCAGTGCAGTGTCTATCACTTTCCTTAATGAAGGGAAATTCCATTAAAAAATTTTCAGATATATACAATTCTTGAAAATTGTTATCATTTCATCTTCGTGAATAACTTTATACCATTCATATATGAATAATTAAAAATAGATTTATTAAAATCTACACATTCTTTTATTATTCCATTATTTCGTATCCTTTGATTTAATAAGATTTTTTGTAAAAATTTATTATTAAAAATGTTAAAATAGAAGCGAATATTAATAAATGGAATTTTTCACTTATATTCATTTATTTTAATTTAAAAAAAAAAATACACACTTACGTATACATTTGACAAAATTTCAGATGAATAAAATTAAAAATAAAAATTTTGCTTTGAAAAATTCCAAACGGAAACAGTATTCATTCATATATTCGATCTATTGCGAGCTGAATGACACAATTAGATAAAAATTTCATTAGCGAGATTGAAACCGTTTTAAGACTCGCGGTTCGTTTAAAGCGGTCCAGACACCACGCAAATAGAATTATATGATCGATCGTCTCTTAAATGAAAATCACATAAAATGTACGTGACAATTCGCTGAATGAATGAAAATGTCGGTTAGAAAATCTGTTAGAAATCTAAAAACAAATGTTGAATAAAATTCATTCAAAAAAAAAAAGAAGAAATTTGCTTCTAAGAAAAACAATAATCAAAATTTTCTCCAATGATATTAAATCAAAACAACCAATGATAAACAAAAAATTACGAGAGAGAGAAAGAGAGAGAGAGAGAGAGAGAGAGAGAGTAGTTATACTAC